TCAGAATTAGCCAAAAGGTCGTAACCCACGGGAATGATTACGTGTGGGTTGGGACCCTCCGTCCTCACTTCCACGCGGGTGTTTCTCTTCAAAAAGGCCTGCACCTCTTCAGGATCGATGTCTGAGCCTGAACCGTCGTCCTCTGCGAGAACCGCTCCATCTCCTCCGGCCGTCGATGACGCACCAACTTCAACAACCCGTATAGGCTCCCCACCTTGATGTACCCCCTTGGCCTAGGGGACCTCCCCGCCATGATGGCATCCGCCATAAAAACGGCTCCAGCGTCTGGCACAAGTGCGGGCGTCGCCCTCGAGGCAATGACCTTCCTCGTTTCAACACTAGTGGCGACGGTCTTCCCAAGTTCCATTCTTCGCCTCTTTCTCGATGGAGAATCCTCTCCATTAGACGACTCATCTACAAGGTGGTAGATAGGTCGGGAAGAGATCTCATCCCGTACAACAGCATTCTGAGGAGAGTCCCTAGCTGACAGAGCTTGAGTACGACCTGCGCGGATGGACCAGCCAGAGTAAATTGCATCCGTACCGATGCAATAGCCTGGCGAAATGCCGGCAGTGGAGCTTTCTTTTTGGAAGCCCGTCGACCTGTCACCATAAGGAGGTCGTATCAACAAATAACGGTAAACAACAGAAGGCCAAAATGAAAGTAACACTTACTAGACGAGACCTTCGGTCCAAAACATTTGTAGAAAACCGCCCAATCTCGAATACCCGCCATGTGAGGTAACACGCGATCCACCCAGTCTTCAATGCCGATGACGGAAAAGGGTGCACGCCTTTAAGCTAAAAAAACAACACAAGGAAACCACAAATGAATGAAAAACGAAGGGACGAAAAGAAGACAACAAGTGTATGCCAACAACACCTACGATTATGGTTCCACTGCTCGGGAAATCCAGCAGGGTCCGATACCAAGTGTTCGATTTTGATAAAGAAGTACTTGTGCCAAAACCTCCGATTGGTCCTGTCGTCCATTCCAACTATCAGCTCTCTAGTCCTACGATGTCGTAGGTGTATCATAGTGCCTCTGTAAAAGCTTGGTGAAAACAAGTGTAGTAGGTGGCGGATATCGACCTCACACCGGCCAATTTCGCATACTTTGTCAGCATCAGGAAAGCTTTATACAGATACGGGATAGCAGTGCCGGGCAGATGTTGTAAAATCGACAGAATTCCTCCGCCAGCGGGAGAAGAAAGAGAGTATAACCAATTAATAAAGGGTAGACATAAAAGGCACAATACCCAGGTCGATGGACCTCCACGATGTCGCCACCAGCCGGAACTATCCCGACGTGAGAAGGCATACGATATGTAGATCGGAGCTCAACTATATGAGACGGCTCAGTTTCAGAGATCACCTGAACGGGAGCAGGAGCAGGTTCCTTATGAAAATCGCTTCTAAACAAGGAGTTTCTAGGAACTATCTCCTCCACGGTAGGAAAGCTCTCATCCTCTTCAACCACGAAATCCTCGCCGCCGGAAGAAGGAGCCACCGACAATGGAGTGGCGTCGGAAATTTCATCGTGACTACGAAGGGTGTGTGACATGTCGACGATAAAAGGTATGCTATTGAACCCGAAGAAGGAGGTAGCGACTAAGGTAAGAAGGTGAGATATGGAATCATGAGAGCAAAATTGAGAACTGAAGCTGGCAAAGAAGATCAAAAGAAAATAGTATTCATGCAAGGAAATGGATGGTGGAAACTTCTAAAAAACGAAACCCCCACCTATTTATAGGGCTGGATGGCTCGAGAATTGAGGCAAAAGATTGTCAACGACACCAAAACCAGAGCGACAGGAGCGCGAACGCTGTCTCGGGAAAGTGCGTAATGATGACGCGCGTGGCTCTGACGTCACCCCATGGCAACCACACCAATCATGACTCCACTGATTGTGTCGCTCTCTTGACCTTTGTCGACCCGGCTTATGCAACAGCCAAATTCTCCCGAAACAAAGGCAAATCAAGTCTGCTCATCGAGGGCGTGCAAAGCCACGACCTCAACAAGCGGAGGGACTAATTATATAGGTCCAAATTTGGTGACTTGGTGGTAACGGATAAGTAAGACAAATGACGAGGTCAACCCTGATATAACGATTGAAGGTTTCTCTCACAAAGGCTGTTGCCAAAAGCGGTCAGCCGAGGTGAGAAAATAACGGTAGAATAGGTTCAAAGGTAGACATAAAGAATATTACTTTGGATATTCTTTAGGTTGTACTGTTTAGGGTTTTTGGGGAATATCCCTTATAAATAGGAAGAGATAGAAAACAAAAAGAGGATCTTCTTCACTTTCTGATAAGAACACATTGTAAAGGCTGACAAAAGAGAAGATCCAAAAGTTGCCTTGTTCGTTGATGATATTATTGAAGCACACATTGTTCAATATTTATCCATAGATCCAAAGATTCCACACCCATCTTGACTTATCACTTTCTACGTCGCTGACAGAGAAAAGGAACATCCCAATCATGTAATAATTGGGTGGTAGATCCTTTCTTTTTTACATTTATTGTCATTATTTACATTTATTGCATATTCACGCTATCATATTTATTGTCATTCATAGAGTATTAAATGTATTATTTAATGCTCTTGAGAACTACACGTCTCACGAGTATTCCATTTTATTCGATCTAGAATTTATTAAGTTCAACTAAGATTCGCCCTTTAATTCATCATTAATTGGTCTAGTTAAAAGATTTAGCACCTTTTTGCTCAAACAACAATTTGCAAAACTTCAGCATTCTCACGAATATAGTAAAGCACAGAAAGCTCATCTGGGCGACCCCAAAATACGTCAATTGAAATGGCTTTGAGACATGAATAGACGCATCGAGGCACATGAGAAGGGTCGCTCCAATTAATGATGTTATCCTGATAGCAATAAAAAAACAAACTTTACACATAAAACTAAAAAATGATGAACAAACAAACATACATGAATTTAGTACTATATAATCAAATTGAAAACTAAATAACTAATTTCAACATTCAGTATATATAATATAATAATATTAATATTAATCCATTGTGTCAAAGCCGAAAAGCTTTAGAAAGCGCTTCATGTATATTGGGTCACTAAGGGCAAAAATATATTTGTAATGCAAGAAAATTGTAGCAAATTCCTTTGTAAATTTCATTAAAATCTAATATATCTCTTACTTGATTATATTTATTAATTAGTACTGCTCGATTCAAGATAGAATGTGTGCGCAATAAGCCTCGTTCCTTAGTGTCTTGCCTACTCTAAAGTGCAGCTTAAATGAAGGGAAGTGCCATTCCGGAGCTTTTTTGAGCTTCGGGGCATAAGCACGCCATAAATGAGTCTTTGATAACATTGTATTAATCCAATTCCTCATAGTTGAGTTTTAAAGAGCCGCAACTTTTTATTTTCTTTAGATATGTTAAAGATAAAGGTGTATGAGAATGGATTCAAGAACGAGTCAACCCCTTACCAAAATAAAAATGGTACATAGAGGATACGCTAATATTGTAGTATTACTATATCTCTTGTATTTAAGGTTTTATACTCCAAAACATGTTATCAGAGCAATAATCCATTGAAAGAAATTCTATGTTACAACTCTATGTATTAACTTATAAAAGATTATATTAACGAAATATGGATATTGAATAATGGTGGCACATCGGGAATAGATAGATCATTATGCACAAAATGACAAATCAAACAAGTTAAAAACAATTAATCAGATAATAACAACATTAAAACATGACTAGGAATATGAATTAAATAAAGAGAATGTTACCATCGGAATTCAAATATCATTTCATGCCTAAACATTGACGGACAGAGTTAAGCACAAGCATTATTGGGAAAAAGATAATGCTTAATAAAAATAAAGAGAATATTTTTTTGGTGGCGTACCGCAATACTTGGAACTGCAATATATAAATCTTCAACGTTGTGAAATGCTTGCATCAATCTGGCAAAAGAGTGGACTCTCTGATATTTCTTTTCATCTGAGAGTCGCATTGGATTTTTAAGATTGACATTTGCTCCAACTAAGGACGATACATCCAAAATAGAATGTCTCAGAAACATCATCCATCAAATTTATATTCTCAAGTTTATGTATTTATCTCCAAAAAAAGTCACTTTTTTCCTTATCACTTCTATTGTCAAAGGATCCATCATCATAAATAGTAACTTTAAGCTTTTTCAAAACAGGAGAAGTTATAAGAAACTTAGTTACATTATCATACTCATCCCTTTCAACATAAACAGATTGCAAACATGGGACAATAAGCTTATGAATGGTGGTGGCAAATGGGTGGGTTGGGTCTGATTTGGGCGGGTTAAAAATAGGTTAAGCAAAAATAGGTTGGGTCTCAACCGCCCATTTTTTATGCGGGTCAAAAGCGGGTTGGGTGTCAAATGGGCGGGTTGAATATGCTTTAACCCATATTATATAAGTGTAATATTTTTTCAAGTGCAATTTATAAATTTTCTTTTGCTAAGATTATTTAGTGACAAAAATTTAACTGGAATAATATATACTTTTGATCATTAACTTTATTCAAATTTGACTATCATCTTGTAAACTTAAGTTACTTTTCAACAAAATATGACAGTTTTTATTTTAAGAAGAAAATGTGACCAAGATGGCAAGATGCCTGTACACACAAATCTGTGTCCCAAACTTAAAAGTTTAGCCAAAAATTGATGGAATAACTTGTGAACATCCTGAATCGAACGAGATTTTGGAAAGAATCTGATTAGGGTTTTGTAGAATGTTCGAGAAGAGAGAGAATAAGAGAGACTGAATTTGTGGCTCGAAAAATATGATTAGCCTTTCAGCCTTTTTCTATTTATATGTGTGTCCTTTACAAAAGAAGTACTCATTACAAAAGAAGCCTAACTAACTAATTAACTAATGGCTATGTACAATAAAATAATATCTGGCCAAAACACTAAGATTGCCTTATTGGGCCTGAGGCCAAATATTCTGATAGCCCAACACCCCCTTCAAGTTGGAGGGGGGAGAACAACTTCAACTTGGAAGGACTGATGAAGCACGCCAGTAAGAGGCTTAGTGAAGATGTCGGCAAGCTGATTAGAGGTGGTAACATGAAACAACTGAATCAAGCCATCTGCTAACTTCTTCTGTATAAAATGAAAATCCACCTCGATATGCTTGGTTCTCTCATGAAACACCGGATTCTTAGCAATATGAATGGCAGCTTGATTGTCACAAAAAACATAAACAGGATAAGAAATAGGAACAGAAAGATCAGGAAGCAGCCTAGTGAGCCAGGTAAGTTCAGCCACCAATTTACTGAGTGCCTTATATTTTGCCTCAGCGGAGGAGAGTGAAACAATAAGTTGTTTCTTAGATTTCCAAGAGACCAAACAGTCACCTAAAAAGACACAAAAACTAGAGACAGACTTGCGAGTATTAGGGCAAGCTGCCCAATCACTATCAGAATATGCTATGAGAGTACAATCAGGGGAGTTAGAGTAGAATAGCCCAACATCAAAGGTGCCCTTCAAGTATCTCAACATGTGGAGGGCAACAGTCATATGAGGCAACCTGGGAGCTTGAAGAAACTGACTTAAATATTGCACACCAAAAGAGAGATCAGGTCGAGTATGAGTCAAGAAGAGAAGTTTGCCAATCAGACTCCTGTATCTTTTAGGATGATCAAACAACTCCCCAGAATCAGCTTTCAACTTGGAATCAAATCTAAAGGAGAAACAACAAGGGTCACCTCCAAAAAGTTATATGCTTTAAGTAAATCCAAGACAAACTTTCTTTGATTTAAGAAAACACCAGAAGGAGAAGCATTGACTTCAATGCCCAAGAAATAGTGTAACAGACCCAAATCTTTTATTTTAAACTCATTGTCCAAGAAGTCTTTCAAAGCAGAAATCTCAACAAGATTGTTCCCTGTTAAGATGATATCATCTACATACACAACAAGAATCACAATGTTACCAGAAGACCCTTTAACAAACAAGGAATAGTCATTTAAGGAATGAGTGTATCCTCTTGAACACAAAGCTTGAGGCAACTTTGCATACCATTGTCAGGAAGCTTGCCTCAAGCCATAGAGGGATTTATTTATCTTGCAAACTAAGGGAGAAGATGAGGAAGATGAATAAATGGAAAGACCTTGAGGAAGCTTCATATAAACCTCTTCATGTAAATCACCATGAAGAAAAGCATTATTTACATCAAGTTGAAACATAGACCAACCCTGCTTGATAGCAACAACTATAAGGCATTTAACAGTAGACAACTTGACAACAGGTGAAAAAGTTTCAGTGAAATCACTCCCTCAACCTATGTATCACCTCGAATCACAAGCCTTGCTTTATACCTTTCTACACTACCATCTGCTCTATACTTTATTTTATAGACCCACTTGCACCCAATGGGTTTCTTTCCAGCAGGAAGTTCAACAATATCCCAAGTCTTATTGGCATCTAGTGCCTCAAACTCCTTTCTCATTGCCTCTTGCCAGGCTGGAATATGAGCTGCCTGAGCATAAGTGTATGGTTCGGATTCAGTAGGCTGAACAGAAGAACAAGAAAAAGAGGCAGGTAGCTGACATTTATAATCCTGTAAATAGGAAAGAAGATGATGTGGTCTGTCAGATCTCCTTAATGGAGGGATACTAGTTACAGGGACAGGAAGAATATCAGGATTGAAAGCTGGGGGTTGAATAGAGGAAACGGGATTGGAAACAGCAGGAGAATTAGGTGGAGAATGCAAAGGAGCAGAAGTTGTAGCTTGAGAATCAGAACTCGGAATATTAGTAGTAATAGATGGTGATACAGGAGAAGAACTGTTGACAGGAGAGGATGGAGAGGAACTGTTGACAGGAACATCTACAGTGGATATAACATGAGGAGGTGGCTGAGAAGGTACAGGAGTAGTAGTGTCAGGAGGGGGATTCATCACTACACTCTAAGGAAGAGAATGGGACTGTGAAGCAGGAGATGGAGAAGAAGAAGACTTATCAAAAGGAACACAAGCTCATGAAATACAACATCTCTAGAAATGAAATTTGTGAGTATCTAAACAATATAACTTGTATCCCTTTTTGGCAAAGGGGTATCCCAGAAGCACACATCTCATTGCCCTTGGTTGGAGATTATCTCTTTGTGGAATTGGTACAGTTGCATAACACAAGCAACCAAATGATCTTAGGTGAGAATAATGTGGGACTTTCCCATATAATATTTCAAATGGTGATTTGTTGTTGAGCAATTTAGAAGGAAGTCTATTGATGATGTAAGTTGCTGTTAATAAGCAATCACCCCAGAACCTAAGTGGTAGTTTGGACTGAAAGAGAAGTGCTCTAGATGCTTCAAGTAGAGTTCTATGCTTCCTTTCCACCACACCATTTTGTTGTGGTGTGTGAGGGCAGCTGGTTTGATGAATGATGCCATTATCAGAGAAGAAGGAAATGGCTATGTGACTGGAACCAAGTTCCAAGGCATTGTCACTTCTAATGGTTTGAACATTCACATTAAATTGAGTTTTGACCATGAGAACAAAGGCTTTTAGAAGAGAGAATGCATTACTTTTAGACCCCAATAAGTGAGTCCAAGTAGATCTGCTAAAATCATCCACAATTGTTAAAAATTTATCTAGAGCCAGAGTAAGTAGGTGTGTGATAAGGACCCCAAGTGTCAACATGAATAAGTTGGAAATATTTATTGGTCTGAATGATGCTGTCAGGGAAGGGCAACCTAGTTTGTCTAGCCATAGGGCATACATTACAAGGAAAATATTGTTTAGAAGAAATAGAGATAACAGAAATAGTCTGCATTCTCACAAAAGGAACAAGTGCAAGTCTTTGGTGCCAAACAATGTCCATATTATCTTGTGCAGCTTTATTACAAGTGGAAATGGAAGTATTTACAGAAGTGGGAGAAACATCAGAATACAAGGTGCAAGAAGTAAAATTTTCAACAACAGAATTGTGTGGAAGAGATGTCAAAGGCAACTCTGACTTGTAGAGTCCATCATCCACTCTACCAAGCTCTAGAGGCTTCTTCAGAAAATGGCCCTGGATAAAACATCCAATATAAGTTAACATAACTATACAACGCAATTATTGTACCAGTCTATTCACAAATATTAAATTGTAATGAAAAGAAGGGACATAAAGGACATTGTGTAAGGTGATAGATTCCTTTAATGAGTAGGATCCTATACTTGTAACCTTGACTTTATAGCCATTTGGAAGAGAGACTAGATAAGGAATAGTTAAGGGAAAATATATTGAAAAGGACATCTTTATTTGAGGTCATGTGATTAGCGGCACCAGAATCAATTATCCAGATTAGTTTTGTAGAGTTTGTAGAGTTGGTGATTTTTGTCAGCATACAAGAACTAGAACCATACACTATAGGATCAGACAACAATATACCAGCAAAATTGGCAGATGCCATAAGATGAGGTGGAGTGATTGAATCAGATAGTTGAGATTGCTGAAGCAGATTTATCAACTGAGTCTACTGCTGCTGTGTTAGACCAGGCACTGCAGACTTTTGACCCTCAGAAGCCACAATAACACCATTGTTGGCATTAGGAGTGTGGCCAGATGAATTTGGATTGGAATCATTGGAGAATTCACATTCTGTAGTCACATTGGCTGCAATTCTCTTGCCTTTGGTAAACTTGAAATTAGGAGGAAACCCCTGAAGCTTGTAACACTTATCAATTAAGTGTCCAGGCTTCTTGCAATATTTGCAAAAAAGATTACTCAGGTTTCCTTTACTCTGATCAAATTAACCCTTTGAGTATAACTGCCTTTGAGGCTGAACAAAAGATACCTTGTTGTTGAGGCTAAACACATCAACGGATGCAAATTCAAAACTGAAATTTGGACCAGGATTTATTTGTTTTTTTTTTCATCTTGTAAGAGGATGTTATAGGTGTTATCAAGTGATGGAAATGGTTGCATCATCAAAATATTACTCCTAACCCCAACATATATCTCATTTAGACCCATTAGAATTTGGTGGACTCTATCCTCTTCTTCTTTCAGAAGTTCTGCTCTAATAGGGCACCCACAAACATTTACCTTATTACTACGCATTACCCTCAATTCATCCTATAATTTCTTAAGTTTGTTGAAATAGGAAGCTATGTCAAGAGCCCCTTGCATAGTGGAAGCAAGTTCTTTCTTTATTTCAAAAACTTTCGTCCCATTAACTGCCACATATCTTTTATATAATTGTTCCCAGATGCTTTCGGCAGTTTCTGAATATTGAACACTCTCAGCAATTTCTGGAGAAAGTGAACTGGTCAACCAAGAGATGACCATATTATTACATCTGTTCCATTGTTTAATGTGTGGAGAATTTTCCGCAGGTTTGGGGCAAGTACCATCTATGAAACTAATTTTATTCTTAGTAGAAAAAGATACAATTATACTTCTTTTCCACCCACTAAACCCTGTACCAGAGAAAGGTGTGTGGACTAAAAAAATCCCAGGGATATCGGAGGGATGGAGGAACATTGGACTGGAGGAATCAATAGCAGTAACATTACTGGTTTCGTCAGTATTACCCATTGTTCACAATCCAAAATACACCAAACACAAGATATCAGAACAACAACCCCCTGAGTTCGAGGAGTACATCAGCTCTATTGTAAAGCACACAATTTTGAGAAGAAACGATATTACCAGCCTCTTTTGCAACCGAAAAGAGTACGGCCTTGATAATCACGAGAGTCTCCACAAAAACTAGGATTTGAAGGCTGGAAATCAAAAACCCTAACTTCGACGGTGAACTCGAACCCTAGCTTCAAACGAATACTGGAACCCTAGCTTCAACAACGACAGTCGCCAACTCAAAACCAAGAGAAAACCTCAAATCAACCGAGATATTGAAGATATAAGACAGAAATTACAGTGAATTCGAACAAAATCGAAGAAAATACTTTGCGAGAGAAAAAAAACGATTCTGAATTTTCTTTTCTAAAATGAACGAGACCATCACTCGATTCAACATGACGAGATCAATCAGGATCTATGCTCTGATACCATGTGAACATCCTGAATCGAACGAGATTTTGCAAAGAATCTGATTAGGATTTTGTAGAATGTTCGAGGAGAGAGAGAATAAGAGAGACTGAATTTGTGGCTCGAAAAATCTGATTAGCCTTTCAGCCCTTTTCTATTTATATGTGTGTCCTTTACAAAAGAAGTACTCATTACAAAAGAAGCCTAACTAACTAATTAACTAATGGCTATGTACAATAAAATAATATCTGGCCAAAACACTAAGATTGCCTTATTGGGCCTGAGGCCAAGTATTCTGATAGCCCAACATAACTACATCTTTGAACTATCATATAATAATCGGAGAATCAACACGAATTTCATGTTGAAAATATTTTGTTGGATAGTGTTAAAGATCGCATTTTCGTAAGAGGATACTTAGAAAACATTTTATCTCTTTATCACGATTCACCGGAATGCATTAGATCGACTTTTTCTTTATCATTTTTCCCTGTTTCTTCTGATTTTTCTTTTGCATCAGTACACCAGCAATAACACAAAAAAGTCTAATATCAAGCACAAATCAAATCATATCAATTACCATAATGATTCAGGAACTTTACTTTGTCATTGCATCTTTCACTACCAAAAACATGTATTATGATCAAAATCTACCTTGACCCCTCTAAATTAAAAAAATAAAAAAGAAAAGAAAAAAACTAGCTTGCATACAAATCGCATCTATATAAGCTAAAGAATCCACTAATGTTTCTAAATTCTTGTGATGTATAGAGCTAATTAGTAAATTCAGTTCAAAGATATTTTCTAAAAAAAATGCTAAACAAAAGTAAATTGTACTTACTATGTTTAGAAGAAAAAAAAAAAGAAGAAAATACTCACAGTCAGCTATAGTGAGAAGAAACATAGGAAGGAAGAGGAGTTGAATACCTTTATAGCATTTTCAGTTTCAAAAATGGTATAATGTATTTTGAGTGAGCAAAAGTTGGAAGATGACCCATTAGACTAATCCATATTTTACCCATATTTTACACATGAATACCCATATTTTTACGGGTTGAATATGGGTTGAAGCTCAGATTTTACCCAACTTAAATATCATTCATTTAACCCACTAAAATATGGGCAGAACGGGTGGTTTGACAAAATATTGGCTCATTTTACCAGCACTACTTACAACATCACGTTCGCCGCCTTCTTAATGAACCGTAATTAGACTAAGAGTTTTTAATTTTGGAAGACAAATATTTTCTGGACAATTGATAAGTATTTGGCCACGCAATTCAAGAACCTCTAGGATTTTGCAGGAGTAGACACAAGTAGGCAATTTCATTCGGCCATTCTTACAGTTTTGCAAATTAAGATGTTGAACTCCAATAGCAGTAGCCCAATAAAGCCATGGGTGAATATCTTCCTTGTCACATATTTTATTCCAAACAAGAGAGAAATTTTTCAACACGTTGTGATACATCAAAACCATGCTAACAAATCGGACAAAACTACGTTTTCTCCACTTATTGTTAAAGCAATCGAAGTTCACAGTGTCAACATAGATCCATAGATTTTTCCATCTTTTTGATACTAAACTTGTCCTCACAGCAGAATGACTTGGAAGAAAAGAAAGAATGTGACACAAAATGGACTCTGGTAAGTCACTGATATTCCTATCAATATTGTCGATTTCTTGGTTTCTAAGTGATGCCATTGATTTGCTGGATATTCTATTGGTGTTGGGGCCGAAGAGGAAGAATTTATTTGGGTTTTAGGAGAATTGAAGAAGTACATCAGAATTCAGAATCACACATTAATAAGATCCCTTTGAAAAGAAGGAAAGAACTGAATTTTTGCCGGTTAATTAGAATAGCACTCTACTCTAAATTCTATGCATTTACGTGTAATAAGTGACCAACTTGCTTTTTTATTTTGGTCCAAAATAAGTGTCCATTTATATAATCAAGAAAAATTCAATTTGTTTTTTCAAAATTACCCTTATGTACGTATCCCTAAAAAGTCATTTACTCCTCACATTTGAGAATAGAAATAAACTATGGTGCAATATTTAGTGAAGGGTAGTTTAGTCACACTAACTATTTTCGTCTAGAATTTAGTATTTTCTTAATGGGTGTGCCAAAAACAAATTTGTCACTTATTGTGGACCGAAGGGAGTATATTATATTATATATATTAGTATATATTTATATCTATCTGTCGGGTGAAAATCATTTACACCCCTCAATTTTGCTTTAAAACTCAACCCCCTCAACATTGAACATTTTTTCCCTTTTTATGCCCATTGACTTTTTAAAAACCTATTTTACCCTTACATATCAACCTATGTCTCTTCTTTTTTTTTTTTTTACTTTTTTAAAATCATGATATTTTTTTATCTATCTACATGCATGCATGCATGCATGCATACATACATATACACACACACACATGCATGCATGCATACATACATACATACATACATGCATACATACATACGTACATACGTACGTACATACATACACGTAATATTTAAATAACAATCATAAAAGATAACGTTAGATTTTGTGATAAAATTATTAAAAGAATATTTTACTTATAATGTTAATGAACTTAAGTAAAAATCTAAGGAAATGGTCAAAAATACCTCTCTACTATTGAATATTGTTCAAAACTATCCTCCGTCATACTACACAACAACAACAACAATCCAGTGGAGTCCCACAAGTGGGATCTGGGGAGGATAGTGTGTACGTAGACCTTACCCCTACCTATGAAGGTAAAGAGACTGTTTTCGAAAGACCCTCGGCTCATGAACGTAAAAAATGGAGCAATAGAGAAATAATCTAGCAAAAATAGGGGTATTTGATAGAATTGGTCCAACCGATTTTTTTTTTGTAAATTTATCCGATCCAATACCCTTAAACCCACCAAAAAAAGGACCTATAGAATTGACACGTGGCTGAACAACACCAAAACTAAACATAAAAAGTGGTGCACTTCACCTTTAACACCAGAAATTACCATCGCCAACCAAAGCCATTATATTCCGGCAACTAACTCATACACACAACAAATATAACACATGTTTAGTACTAGAATCATCGGCGGCAGCTAAATCCATTTACTCCTAAGCCGTACATCCAGCATTCTTCTAAATCGCCTCCGACAACCAAATCAGGAGTAAAAAGTGCTCCAAATGAAGATGTGGATTTAGAGTCTCTTCCCGTTGCTTGGATACCGACATCTCATATTTCAGTTTGTTTTAACTGTGGTACGTCCTTCAAAAATGCTCTGAACCTTGTTGCCCGTGAACAGAAACTCCGACGAGCCTCATCCGATTGTTCTAGCAAATTTTACTCCATCAGGATTCTTCCCCCTGTCCAGATTCCCCACTTTATGAAAGCTCATATCATTTCACTATTTCAGATTCCAAGAATCTAAAAAAAAAATCCGGCAAACTTGACATCGGCGGCCATGGATGTTCCGCCCATTCTCGAGAAAATTTTGCTATAAAGTGAAACAATTAGTGATCAAATTTTGTTCAGAATTCTTGTTAGGACTTATGACTATGATGTTTGTTTACCCTTAAAATCGGATAACAATTAAATTATACGCGGTTTAAGGATATGTGATATAACTTGATACAAATTATGAAATCAGATTAATATTGAAACTGATGATGAATAAATGCAAACCACACAAATTGAACAGCCTTGGCTTTAGAGTTTGATCACCCTCGAACCAAGAAATGCCTCAACTGATGTAAGAACAGAATAACAAGATGATAAGAACTAGAACTGTATTGCTTTTTGCTGCATATCACAATGTCCTTAACAAATGATCAAACCTCCCTTTATATATTAGGGAGTCATATTCTTGATACAATTCTATTAAATGTAACCAATCTCATGATTCGCTAATTAATCGGCCTCTCCTCCATACGTACCGAGAATTCCACCGTGATCTCTGACCGATCCCAGATATTTCGGCCCTCCGTTATTTGGCTCGACAAAGTTCCCTCGATCTTGTTCTGTCCTGGAGTCACGAGCTTATTGTCTTGACTTCGCGCTTTGGTTCGATATAACCTGGGCTCAAGCTCTAACGTGTCATGCTTCAGCCTCGGCTTGTCATATAATGGACGAACCCGATTTCGATCGTATACAGATAGTCCCCTCATTTTTCGGAGAGAAGATGACGAGAAACAATATGAACTTCTAAACCTCACTTCGATAGAATATGACGTAAGCGACAAAAGGTAACTGAAACGTCCCGTCGGTCCAGTCTCCAAGGCTGTGTGCCAGTTTTTGGTCGGCCACTACTGGTTTTGAATCGTCATAAGCAAACTATAAATATCCCAACTTTCATTTATTCAAACTTTATGTTCAAAGCTTCTTCTACTCTTTTTCTTTAAGAATCTCTTCACTCTCGACCTTTTGTACCCAGATTTCTTGAACCTTTTGCAACCACTAACTGTACCTTCTTAATTTCCTTATCTTTATCTCTGCTTTAAAATGGCGAAAACTCTAAGGTTGTTCCACATAAAGAGATGGCCTCTTCATCACGGTCTGCCAGCTACGGGACTGCGGCGGAACCCTACCCTGAAGAGTTCATTCCTGGAGGGTGCTCGACCGGTGCTGATTTCAAGATCTAAAAAACTTCCCCGGTACTGGGTCGATGTGAGCCGGTATCGAGATATGTATGTTCGATCACTGATGATCTCCTCTCCAAGGTCAAAGAGGATTGTAACTAGGCCAATAAACACGTGGTGGTGCCCACGCCCGAGGAAGCAATTACTACCCACGTGGAGGGTTTTTTAAGTATTTACACTTACCCTTCACGTTGGGTCCCTTAGACCTGATCATTATTGCCTTCTACAAGAGGTACAAAGTGACCCTCGGTCAAATTCACCCCTCAGAGGATAGTGATTCTTCTCCGCTTTTTTGTAAGCAATATCGAGCGCTGTCCATTCACCCTCGATCATCTCATGCGTCTTTACAGTCCTTGACTCTATCGAGGGGGATTAATAAAACTTACTCACCGGGCCAATAGGGCCCCGTTCTCAGGTATAGATGAGGATCGGGACCGAGGCTGGATGGGCCGATTCGTTCAAGTGAAGACCTCGGACTTGATCTCTGCTGAGGACAAGTCATTTCCCGAGAAATGGAACAAGAAGCGTAAGTGTAACTTCGCCTTAAAGATTTTATTTATTATTTCTCCCCTTCCCTCACATCTTATTAGTATTTTTGTGGTACAGTTGTGGCTTGGACGCCGGATGCAGTTCCTCGACTCAAGGAGTGGGTCGAGGACCTTGTGTCATAGAGACCATATTCCGAGCTCGCTTGGCACGAATTGTTGAAGGGTTGGTTGGGAGGCCCGTAATCACGGTAAGTTTTCTTTTCTGATTTAATAATGTTTGATTTTTTCCTTGCGCTGTCGAATTCTTATCGGTTCTGTTCTCTTTTATCGGTCTCCCCAAAGATGTTGCTACGAGGCCTCCATCCGGTGATGAGGATGTGCCTCTCAAGTCCCCTGATCCGAGGCAGGGTGATGAGAAGAACACGAAAAGGGTTCCGAGTTCTCCGAACTTGGAAAAGAAAAAGCCAAAGAGGAGGCCGGCGCGTAAACCTAAGGGAAGCACCAGTGCTCTATCCTCGGACTCAGTCCACCAGCTAAGGGATGAGTCCGAAGAATCCGAAGAAGAAGAAGAAGAAGAAGAATATAATCCAAGCTAGTGGCCCGCATGCGGGCAGGTGTCTTTGATACGAGAGGCCTCTGAACCGGCGGGTGTTGAAACTGAATCGTCTCGACTTAAGGAGGTTGAAGGGAGAACTTTAGCTGAAGCTCCCGAACAAGAAAGGGGTGAGGACACTCCGCCTCGAGATGGGGAGGCCGATAATGTGGCCGGTTTTTTCCCGAACATCGGATAATGTTCTGAAAGGCATACTCGGAGTAATAGACCTCGTCGGTCCGCCTTTATTATTATATGAGTCTATGATTGTCGATGCTCACGCGCTGAAAGAACGATCCACCTAAGAGCCACAAGGGGCGGTAGACACCTTTAACAACTTCTTTGATTGCATAGACTCTACCACTACGGAGGATGTCACTGGGTTGAGTGATATACCGGTGCCGAAGAAGAGTCCAACGAGTGGACCTTCCTCGAGCCCAAAATTAGTTAATCAGTTCCCAGCCCCGAGTTTGAATCTTGACTGGAAATGGTCAATTGTTATGTCCATCCCAGAAGATGCTCGGGTTCTCTCTGCCACTGTGGGAGTGGCCAGTTATTTTCGGTGCTTGGTGACCGAGGAGGATCAGGCCAAGATGAACGAGGTGGAAATGCCTTGTTTGTTCAACGAAGCCCAACAGGCATTAAATCGGGTAACCCCATATACCTTTTAATAATTTCAATTGTGTACTTAGATTATTTTGGAGATGATTGTAACTCCTTTTCCTATGTTTGTTGGCTTTGGTACTCCACCATGAAATGTTCCTCCGCTACCGGAGGAGCTGACCCAATATGCGGCTGAGGTCCGAGGGCTCACTAAGAAAAGAGGCGCTTATAAACTTCTCAGTGAGCAAACAGAAGGGGAGGCTAAGGGCCTCGGGGATGAGTTGGAGGTGGCTCGGAAAGAGCATGTCGACCTGGTTGAGCAGGTAAGAAGAAATTTGGAAGTTAGTGATGATGAATCGAACATGGTGACTAATGGTCCGAACCCGCAGGTCCAACAGAAGGTCAACAAGATCAGGCAGCTCCGGGAAGAGGTAGATGCGGTGAAGGATGAGGCTGAAGAATGGAAAAAGAGCATGGATCGCCTAGCCTTAGAAAAGGAAACCCGAGCCCAACTGGCTTCAGCTGAAGTCCGGCTCCGAGGTATAAAGGAGAAGCCTTTGGCGCGGGCCAAGAAGATCGAAGAGCTTCTGTCCCAGCTAAATTCGGCCATCTCTGATCCAAAAAATTTGTCCACGGAGCTTGAAACGGCCAAATCGGAGGCACAAGTAGTTAAGGCCAATGCTGATGAGGTGGTGGCCGTTTATAAGGCCGATGCCGAGGCGGCACAGGTTCGAGCAAAAGACATCACCGAGCATGTTAAATGGCAATCTCAAAGGGAGGCCCTTGAGAAAATCCATGCTCAAGGTTTCGAACTCTCGGCCGAGATCGAGAACGCCAAGAGCTCGAAGCTGAGGCTAAAAGGTTGGCTTATCCCGAAGATAACAATGACTTCGAGGGCTTAAGTGAGTCCGAAAGTGGGGAAGATCCCGAGGGTGATGCTACCTCCGATGAGGACCAGGACACTTAGGCCTTTAGATGTTTTTATTTTTTGCTTTTTTGCATCTTTTTGAGGCCGTTGTAGATTTCTGTATTAGGCCATTTTGGCCTTTGTAAAAAGATTATTGGATAAATATACATAAGGCTTTCTTTCCCTTTCGGCTTTCATATTTTTCCTTTGCTTTATTACTTGTATTCACAAAGGCCAGAATGCCTTAGCGTTAAGTAACTTAGGTTATGTTTGAAAGTTCAAACAAACCTCACCTTTACATTGCTCTTTGGGGGTTCGGTGGTACCGGAAACTTTCTCTCAAAGTAATTGATTCAGATTATAGTTTGCCGAGGGTAGCCTTTAGAACCGGTTATGAAAAAATTTCTTTTTCGAAGGCCTATCTTTTGTTACGGGTCTCGGACGTCTCCGAGCCGTATTAATATGGCCTTAGCCTTTTAGTTTGGGAGTTGCCCAGTGGACTTGTTTTCCCGAGTTACCCGGGCTTGCCCAAGATAACAGTTTCTGAGTGGAGATAGCCGTAGCCTTTATAATTCAGGGGTCTTCTGATAGGTCTTATGCCCCTGAGATCTAGTGGTTTGGGCTGCCCGAGTTTATTTTTGGACGACAGTCCTCGAGTGAGGGAGTGATCATTCGAACTCCGGTTATAAGCGGCCCTTGACTCGTTACCTTTAGGAGATCGGAAGCATGAAATTCTTTAAGGGATGTAAAGAAGAAATTTTTAAAACATACGATGATTTCAAGGAAGAGACTTCCTTTATTCTTGTGTAAGGTAGTAACATATGTATACATGATTTATGTTAGGGTTCGATCAACCTATTTGGGCACGGTTCATTTGGCCGTTTGGCCCTTATAATACATCCTACTGATCGATACCCTTTAGCTACAAAGTTTCTTTCCTTGCTAACGTCGGCATTCGAGGGTGATGGCCCCCCAATATTCGAGGTTGATTGTAGAGGAAACTCAGATACTGTTAGTGCCAGCTTTGACACTAATTCGTGATCGGTCCTTGATTCTACGTTAGCACGATCCACTGTTGCCTCATTAAAAACATTGCCGGAAAACCCATTTGGGACAAAACCGGTTCAAGGAAAAAAGAGTGCAACGCGTGATTTCAGACCTACAGACTTCAAGCCGCTCCTTGTCGATCACGTGCAAGTGTTAGTCCGAAATATAAAAGAAAATAAATGGGGTCATACCTTAGCAGTAATATCGTTTTAGGTGAGTTACATTTCGATTGCTCGATAGTTGTTCCCGTTCAACATTCCGAGCTTATAGGATATTTTCGCGGTGACCTCGAGAATTTGGTACGGTCCTTTCCAGTTCGGACCCAACTTTCTTTTTGTTCAGATTCCGGGTGTTTAGTGTGACCTTACTTAGTACTAAGTCCCCATTAATGAAATATCGAAGGTTGGCCATTCGATTATAATACCTCTTGCTCCGTTGCTTTTGAGCAGCCAATCAAAGAAAGGCAGCTTCACGCCTTTCATCTAATAGCTCTAGGATCGTATTCATGGCCTCGTTGTTTGATTCCTTTTTTGTATATCGGAATATGATACTTGGCTCCCCGACTTCGACCGGTATTAGAGCGTCGGTGCCATAAACCAATGAGAACGGAATAGCCCCGGTACTGGACTTCGAGGTCGTGCGATATGCCCAAAGGACTTTGGGTAGGATCTCCTTCCATTTTACTTTGGCGTCGGTTAACCTTTTCTTAAGGTTTTGGATTATCATTTTGTTGGTCGATTCGACTTGTTCGTTCCCACTAGGGTGATAAGGTGTCGATAAGATTCTTTTGATCTTATGACCTTCGAAGAAACTTGGTCACTTTGCTGCCGATAAATTGTTTCCCGTTGTCACATTCAATTTTGGATGGCATCCCAAACCGACATATGATGTGGTCCCAAATGAAGTTGATGACTTCCTTCTCCCTGACTTTCTCGTATGCCTGTGCTTCAACCCATTTAGAAAAATAGTCAGTCATAAATAAGATAAATTGAGCCTTACTTGGGGCCCATGGAAGAGGGCCGACGATGTCCATTCCCTACTTCATGACCGGCCATGGTGACAAGACCGAATGCATCAGTTCCTCGGGCTGGTGTATTATCACAGCATATCTTTGGCACTTGTCACATTTTCGTACGAACTCCTTCGCATCTTTTTCCATGTCAATCCAGTAATAGCCATCTCTGATCACCTTTTGAACCAATGATTCAGTGCCTGAATGATTTCCGTAGGTGCCCTCGTGAACTTCCCTCAAAACATACTTGGTATCCCCCGGTCCCAAACATATTGCTAGCGGGCCATCGAACATTCTTCTGAACAAGGTTCCGTCCTCGGATAAGCTGAATCGGGCTGACTTTGTGCGCAGGGCCCTCGATTTGGATACGAGGGAAGTTCCCGGTCTTTAAATATCTATGTATTTATTTCTCCAATCCCAGGTTAAGCTTGTGGAGTATATTTAGGCGTGACCTTCCTCTACTACCGACCTCATGAGTTGTACGACTGCCCCCGAGTTGAGCTCATCGTCTTCGACCGACGACCCTAAGTTTGCAAGGGCATCAGCCTCACTATTTTGATCTTGAGGCACGTGCTGCAAAGTCCACTCTTTGAACCGATATAATGTTACCTGTAACTTATTTAGGTACATTTGCATTCGTTCTTCTCTGACTTCGAACGTTCCATTAACTTGGTTCACGACAAGGAGGGAGTCACACTTAGCTTCAATCATCTACACCCTCAAGCTTTTGGCCAGTTCGAGACCTGCAATCATGGCTTCATATTCGGCCTTGTTGTTAGTCAATTTCACAGTTCTAATGGATTGTCTAACTATATTGCCTGTGGGTGGCTTCAGTACGATGCCAAGTCCGGACCCCTTTGCGTTCGAGGCATCGTCTGTAAAGAGGGTCCAAATTCCTTAAGATGTCCCCAAGTTTACCAACAACTCCCTTTCGAGTTCGGTATTAGGGATGGCGTAAAGTCGGCCATGAAATTACCAAAATTTGAGACTTAATGGCTGTTCGGGGTTGATATTCGATATTGTATCCGCTGATTTCTACGGCCCATTTGGCCAATCGTTCTAAGAGTTCGAGTTTTTGCATTATATTTCGTAATGGGTAGGTTGTCACAAGACATATAGGATGGCACTAAAAATATGGTTTCAGTTTCCTAGAGGCACTTAGTAAAGCGAGTGCCAATTTTTCTAGGTGAGCATATCTAGTTTCTGCCTCACCTAAGGTCCTGCTAACACAATAAATTGGAAATTGCATACCTTGTTCTTCCTGAACTAGGACTCCACTTATCGCTATTTCCGACACTGCCAAATACAAGTATAGTCGTTCGTCTGCCCTCATTGTGTGAAGAAGTGGCGGGCTCGATAGATATCGCTTAAGTTCTTCCAAGGCCCCTTGGCATTTCAAGGTCTATGTGAAGTTGTTTGTCTTCTACAGTAACGAGAAAAATTGATGGCTCTTATCGAATGACCTCGAGATGAATGCGCCAGGTTAGCCTTTGTACGACCTTCACATTGTCCACTACCTTGATATCCTCGATAGCTTTGATCTTGTCGGGGTTGATCTCGATTCCTCATTTGGACACCATGAACCCGAGAAATTTACCTGATCCAACTCTGAACGCACATTTTTCTAGATTCAACTTTATGTTGTACTTCTTCAATATACTGAAGGTTTCCTGCAAATTCTTTAGATGGTCCTCTGCTCGCAGGGACTTAACTAACATATTGTCAATGTAAACTTCCATGGTTTTCCCTATTTGTTCGTTGAATATTCGGTTTACTAGGCGTTGGTAAGTGGCGCTTGTTGATACCCAATTTTTCCATATGTATTTTCATACTCAAAAATACTTTCAAAATAGCATGTGTATGCATATATAAGCATGCTCACGAGTTTTGGTACTTTTCCCAAATTCTAAGATTTTTAAAATTAATTTAGTGTCTATTTTAACGATGCAAATCCAATAATTGCTCCCAGGATTATCATTTTGGGAATAATTTATTTATATTCTCATATTTACACCAAAGTATAATTAAGGTGATTTTCTTGCATATTTTTTATAAATTTATTTGATAGTTTTTTAAGTTAAATGGCATAAAATTGCAATTATAGCCTATTTTACGATTAATAAGCATTTTACGATTATAAAATTATTCCCAGTATTTTTAGATTACTTTATATATATTATTAATTAGTTCAATGTTTTTAATTTATTTTTTAAAAATCAGTTTAATTATTTTATAAAAATTAAAAGGGGAGAAATTGATTTTTTAATACATAGCCATTTCCAGTTGCAATTGTAGCCTCAATTGACCCCTATTCCACCTAAATTAAACGACCCAATTTCATTTTTTAACCCGACCCCTTGACCCAATTTATAAACCCGTCCGGTTTTCTTTAAATCGTGGTCGTTGATCATTTTGATCAACGGCCATAACTCATTCTTTCCTTTTTTAATCTCCTAACCCCCTAACCCTAATTCATTTACCCAAAGACATCCGCCCTCGTCTCCTAAATCCTCTCTAGCCCTCTCCGAAACCCTAACCCTATTCCACCAATCCCCGTCTCATTCCCACCGGAATCCATGGCAATACTAGCCATGGGTGGCCTGTGCTCGCTCTCCCTCACCACTAACTTAAGCTATTCGAAGATTGGAGGCCTGACTTCCATTGTCTCCTTTAGATCTGCCTCAGATCTACAAGATCCATGGCCTCTCCGGCCATTTTTCGGCATGTCCAAAGCAATATGAGTCTCTCCGACTCAGGATACGACTTTCCTCAAGACCTTCTCATTCTAGGGTCTTCTCTGCCATTTTAAGCCTTCTAAGGTTCTATGCTCGTTCATTTCTTTTAGATCTGTGACATGCTTGGTCCTTACTTGACGTTTTAAGGGTTTTCCCCAAATTTTCTCTCCCAAAACCGTTCAAATCCAATTTTTTAGGGTTTCTGGAAAAAGTTTCTATAAAATATTTTCTAACTCTTTTGCTCTCTCTTATGTGTGTTTATACTCGCTTGTTTATTTCTTATTATGCTCAAGTTTGTTTTCTTATTTCGATTTTGCAAGATCTTTTTGCTGTTCCTTGTTCACATGTTAACTAGGTTGTTTGTCCTTTACTCTTTGCTATGTGTTCGTGCTCTTTGATTTTGTTTCACTTTACTGAGTTTTGTTGGTATTCCTGCTAAGTATTGCTCTTACCTGCTTTGTTTAAACTTCTGAGATCTGTTTTCAATTCCAAGATTTTCTCAAGCATGCCTTTGAATCAGTGTGTTTGCTATCGCGTATGTTTGCCTCTCTCAATGATTTCTCACCTCTGATTCTATTTGAAACCCTAAAATTTGGGAGTTTCTCTTTGGGTAGATGGCACTAGGTTTCACTTTGGAACCCTAGGTTTCCAGACTCACGGTGAGCCTGTAATCGAACTCAAATCCTACTTGCCTGTGGTTCTGAAACTTTCATTGTTAGACTCTTCTTTTTTTTGAACTGTATGCTTTTTATATGAGAAAAACTTCCCTTCCAAAAGATTTCACCAAGGATTGATTTTCAAATCCCTTTATTCATGCTAGTGATTCACCACTGATTTCTTTCGATTGAACCCTTTTTTTTTCTTTACCCTACTGGCTGTTTGTTTTTGATCCTTTTGGGTAAAAATCCTAGGCTTGCGATGTTTTCCTTAAAATACTTGGTCTTGTGTATTTCTTCTGGGATTCTGTACCAACGTTTGAATTATTCTTTCCTTAATTACCTGAGGGTCTTTGTGATTACAATAGGATCCGGGATCCTTTTGACTAATTTTCAAACTGATACCTTATTTTTACTTTATAAAGAACACTACTATTCCATCTTTCCTTAATTACCAACTATGCATTTGACCCTATTTGTGCACTACATGGTTTCCTTACCTTAATCGAGCCTTAGTAAACAAATTTCTTCTCCTTATTTCACCTCAATTAGCCGTTTGACCTAGACCTCCTAATTAAAGGAGTCTAGTTGTCTTAATTGATACTAATTAATTGGTTTCTATGTTTGTGCACTCTTTGCATGCCTTACTTGTTTTCAAAAAACTATATAAGGACCTAGTCCTCCCTCTTTCTATAAAAAGGGAATTCTCTCATAATCAGAAACACACGAAAATACACCACTCACACACTGAACTCACTCTTCGGGTTATACTGTTTTTTTCTAATCCTGCTTTACTTGAGATCTTTTAGAACTGCTGTTCGCAATTCGGCTTTTTCAAGGCTACTTTTGCTTACTTATTTTCTTTGAAACCGGTATGTCCTTTGTTTAAATATTCTGCTTCACCCCCTATGTGTTTACTTTACAGCTTCAGGCTTCTTGTTTACTTTATTGCTTACATGCTGTAATTGGTGCTTCATATCTCTTTTCTTGCTTCTGTTTCTGTCATGGATCCCTATCCCTGTTCCCTTCTATGTGCTGAGTTAAGGTCTTGGCCTGACAGTATCCTAATTACTGCCCAGGCCATGACTTGATCCACAATGGATTCTAACTCTCAATGTTTGGCTAGCAAGCTGGTCAGGGGTGTGCCAGCATCCCAATTGGTGGGCATGACCACCAGCCTGCCGTGTCTCTCCCTGATTCCCTTCCCCCTATGCACTTACACTTACTCTTAGATTCTAAGTTCTGCCCCTCTCTTATGAGCCTTGCTTTGGGACCCTGAGTTCCCTCTGAACTTGGACATCTGAGAGCTGGCCTTTCCACACCGCACTATGCTCTTGATTCTGAAATGTTTTTGGGGTGTAAGCACTGCCCGGAGTCCCTTTGAGACTCTTGGGAACTTTGACACACTCCAAATATGAGAAAGTCTTTTGGAAGTCTGATCCTGGAAGTTGGTTTATCTCCTATTGTTGGACTTTGAGTCTGAATTAGGCTGATTAGATGTAGCTGTAACCGCTGCTATAATTTTTTTTACTTTCTTTTTGATCCATTCGGTCTGTAATAACTTTGTAATAACAATTAGGGATGGATAGTGAAAAGGGATGGGGGAATGAATGCATGTAATGGGTAGAAAGCATGCCTATAGGATCTTTTATAATTCTGCATCTTCTGCGCTTAGAAAGCATGCCTATAGGATCTTCTATAATTTCTGCATTTCTGCATGTAGAAAACCTGCCTATAGGTCATTCACAATTTCTGCACTTCTGCATTTAGAAAACATGCCTATAAGTTTTTCTACGCTTCTGCACTTCTGCATTTTCGCATTTTAGAGATCATGCCAATAGGTTCTGCATATAAAATCATGCCTTAAGTTTTTCTGCATATACACACCATTAGGCAAACAATCTTAG